CAGGTTAGGCTGTTAATATTGTGGAAGGTCATTATTGACTCCATATGTCCTCTGGTAATGACATCCTGGTTCTGGAAACACACTCTTCTCTTTCGTCATCTGCACAGGTCATTAGAGATGATAAGCATGACTTCTTGGTGTGTACTGAGTCTTGAAGGGGCTATGCTCAAGCTGTGCAGTAGCTGAGGAAAAGATTTCTTGGCTTTCCTCACGGTACCTCCTGTGTCCCAAGCAGCTCAATGGTTCAGGGCAACCATTTTCAGGCAGTGAAATATCTATGGATTTTTTTTTTTTCAACTTTGAGTAGAAGAATCAAGTGCAGTTTCTGAAAGAAGTTTTTAGCAGAGCAGGGGAATGGCTATGGGCTGTATCACAGCTTTCAGATCTCCTGGGACCACAGTTCATCCCTCCTTCTGTCTTGAGAAATGCCATTCCTGTTCCCCCTTCTTCCCTGCTAGTTAGTGTTGAAGTGATGTTAGACGGGAAGGTGGGTTGTAAGGAGAAGAAGGAACTGATGACCCCCCGATTAAGGTATCGAGAACAAGCAGATGCTGTTTCCTAAATGTGCAATTGTTGGCAGAAACTAAGCAAAACTGGGTAAAGCAAACAGCACACATTATTGTTTGTTGGGTGAATGAGGTGTGTCACTGTCACCCACATAGAAAAGTTGGAGGTGCCTTTGGAGCATCATTGCATCTGGCTGACCTCAAGGCGTTATGGTTGAGAGTGTTTGGTTTCGTGAGCATTTGGCTATAGGCTGTAGACTCTGTTTTTGAAAGTAGGTCCCAGAACATTATCTGGTGCTTTTTATTAACTAAGGTTTGGCACATGTGAGGCGTTTTTGCCTGGGACAGCTATGCTGATGTGAAGAGTGCTGCTGTGTCTTCCACCTGCATCTGCGTCTGAAGAACATCCATGAGTGTCACCTCCTGCACAATGTCACTGATGTTTGTGTAGTGAAGTATTTCTCAGCAAACACCACTGCAGTCTTGGACTCCGCTGCTTCCAGATCATTCTCAAGTATAAATCACCCATTTGGTCTTCACCTAGAAAGCTCTGCATGTTACATATCTGTACCTGAGAAATTGCCTCCCACCTTACCGAGGGTCTGCTACCGATCACACATAAATTGCATGGGAAGGGGGCTGGTGGGGGTGCTGTCCTCTGTAGGGCTGCTTGGACTCGTTCGTGCTCTTGGTCCAGGAAAGCACAAGTTTGTTAACCATGGGCCTCCTGAGCTTTGGGAAGTGTGTGTGAGGGGCAGGGGCTTAGAGCAGGTGGTTTCTGCCCGCTCCGACTAATCTGTTTATATCTGTCCGTCTCACAATTCTCTGGCACCTATCGCCTTGGTAGCTAAGCATGTTTCTCAGATGACTCTGGCTTTTTTTCATCTTCTCCTCTTTTTAATAGTCTTTTCTCCTTCCTATTAAATCGGTCTTTATTAAAGTTGAGAATTCTTGCACAGGGTTTTATAAACATGTGTTATTAAATTTTGAATCTGTTTTGAAAGTGCCTCTATCCTACTCCCTCCTAGTAAAGTGACCTTTTTAAATGGAGGGAAGTGGGTTTAGATGACAGTCATGATAAATGCGGTCATGTTCACTCAATAAAATAAGGCCCAGTGCATTTGAGGATAAATCAGTGAAATGTACAGCCCCACCTGTCTGTCTCCATCATTCATTTCCACTGTCACTTTCACAGTGGCTGATGGATCACAGTTGCTGTAAAATTAGACAGCCTTTAATCTCATTTCATCCTGATTAGCTTCTCCTTACCCTTTCCCTCTAACTCACTGACTGACACGCTAAAAACTCACACCGGGCTGTGTCTGAGCGTGGCGTACAAACTTCTCTTCAAATACCCTTTTTGCGGGGCAGGCAGGTGTTCCACTGAGTTGAAATCGAAAAATGAGAAGATGGGATTTTCACATTATTAAAGCAAAACAGCAGACAAAGGCTTGTATAAAATTAATGAAAGCAGCAGCCTGGCCAGACTGTGTGATGGGCCAAATTCTTCCTGTTACACCCTGACAAGCCTCGTGAGTTTGAGAAGATTGTTCCTATAGGGGCTGAATTTAGCAGGCTCATTGCCGCGTAATTTTGACTATATCCATGAAAAGTTATGTCCTATATGGGTGTGTGTTCAAAAGGAATTACAGTTTATAGCACAAGTTTTCTGGTGCTTTCAGGGGGTGTTTTGTAGCGGTAAAAAAAATTGTTTATTCCCATAGTTTTGACTTCTGTGTATAACTCATGATTCTGAGGGACCCTGAAAATGGTCAGGGAGAAAGACTGCGATGTTGGCAATTTCACAATTTCAGTGCCAAAACTCCCTCCCTCTTAGATGTCCGCAGTGTTGCTCCGTCCTCCCTGTTTTGTCCAGCCCCCTCCAGCACCATGGGCAGATTCATGAGACCAAGAACAGAGTTTTCCTCAAAGCCCTGTGAGAAACAAAGGTCATAGTAAAGGTCTGCAGTGTTTTATTGCAGTCACCTTTCCTTCTGAAGCCCAAATACTACCCTCCTTTCTAAGGCAAGCTTCCCTTTGGCTTTCCCGTGAGTTACGGATGGTAGTTCGGGTCATCTGGGCCCAATCCCATATCAGTGGGAATGTTGCCATCAAGTTAAGTAGGAGCCAGGATTAAGCCCTTAGTTTTCAAGGTTTAATTATCATCATAAGTGTGGGAATCTTATTGCATAGTTTATATGCATGGGAACAGCAGAAAAGCTTAAAATATAATTTCTTCCTCTACTGGCCCTGTTTGTGTCAAAATGGAGGATAAATAAACAAAAGTCTTCCTAAAAATGAAGACACAACATGTGAAAAATAAGCATGTGTGCTGCCTGCAGACAGTTCAGATAAATGCTAGATCTCTCCGGATTGACCAAAGGAAGAGCCTAGTTGAGAGTACAACCATTGGCTTGGACCTAATTTGAAACCATAACAGAGCATTGGATGAGGTAAGGATTGAAGCCCCTGCGGACTGATCCCGGGGAGTCTCTTCTTGAGAGGAGGGGTCCCAAAAAGCATCTAAGGAAGACAGCAAATTTCCCGTGGGAGAGCCAAATTCGTTCTGTAGTACAAGCATCCACAAAATCAAGGAAAGTACTGGGGTTTTGAGAGAGATAATTTTAAAATGGGAAAATGTTTGAGATTAAAGAATGAGATAAATATGATACGGGCGCTAAGAAGATAACAAAAATCTTTTCATTCTTTCACCCTGCTGTAGGAATCTATAGGTAGTATAAAATCTTATGCAGTGCCTAGTATAGGATTACTTCCCAGTTATATAAAGTGTATTAGTAACAAATAACATTAATTAATGAACTTTCACTGTACCTGGCTGCCCAATTTAAGAACAGCTTCACTTACATGACTTGTAAGAGCACAGACTATGAAAATGATATTCGACCTTTACTAGAAACTAAAAATGTACCTTACTTATTCATCATTGCTTTGGCAAAAACTTCAGTAAGAAGCTTAAATGAGCCCACTGGATCTTTAAGAAAATGTGTCCTAAATAACAAAGCTGTGCGTATTTCTTCTTATTATTATTTGCATATGCTATACTGCACAACTGCATTCTGAGAAAAATAAAAGATAATAAAACAAATGAAATGAGAGATATATCACCCAAAATAATCCAAGTGTGAGATAGGCTGCCTCTTTTTTTTTTTTTTTTTTTTCCCACTAAGTCGTACTTTCTGCAGTTTCCTCGTTGTATCTCTAGAGACATCTCTGCAGATCCTGTGCCTTGTTTTTCTGACAGCTCCAGATTTCCACAACTGTTTTGTTAATGTTGGTTTGGGGTTTTCTGTTCTTAAGAGGGGATTCCGTGCTTCTGTTGAGTATTTAGAAAGTGCACGGTAACAGATTTTGACTTGCAGCTCTCCAGGACTGAAAACAACAATTAAATCAACAAGACTGGGCATTGGCAAAAGAGCACAAAGTAAGAGCTGGCCCTGAGTCATATTGATTTCCCACTGCACTGGTTTCCTAAGTGCTCTGTTGATCCGTGTCAAGCAATAAGTTCCCTGCCTGTACATGCACATCACCTCCCCATTTGTCCTCACCTAGATTTAAGGTGCCCATATGATGAGCTGAACAAGGACATCATTTTTCCTACTGGTGTCACTGGGCCAAAACTGCTCTATGTGGTATGATAACTAATGCTGTGTAAGTTTACATTTACCATATAATATCACAATAGTGCTGTATGGCACACCGCACTAATATGTGCATATTATGTATATGTAAGTCCTTATTTTTGTGTCTTAGCATTTGCAGTGGAAAATGTAAATTTAAAAAAAATAAATTATTGTGACTGTAGTTGGTCCATAGTAATCACACCACCTCCAAAAAAGGGATATTGCAAACCTAATGCCACAGTTTTGATCTTTGTTAACAAAGGGCTTCCTGATTAGATGAATAGAAAATGTGTGATTGTGCTGCTAATGACATTGTACAGGAAATTAAGCGTATACATTTGGAAAAGGCATTAAATCAGCAGGACCTTAATTTAAAAACTTAAAACTGTATGGAAATGCAGCTTGTTCATTGCTGTGTAATAGAAAGCTACTGAACACACTGACTCTTCTTGTGGAAACATTACCAGCAGAACAAAGCTGGGCTGAGGTTTTTTTAATGTTTCCTAGCATACTAGGATTCCTAGCATCTGCTTATTTTCAGGGAAATAACGGGCAACTTCACCCCTTTTTACAAGTTGTTTTTAGAGCAGCATATACGGCAGTTGGATGGGTGGGGGGGCGCTAAGGGACCAGAATTCCAGCTTTTTTCCTCAATTATTTGCAAGATTGAATAACGTACGATTACTAATAAGTGGCTTTGTCTGCTGTTAATTCAGTGGACATACATGCTTGGGGTGATGCATTCCCCTGTTATTTCATACAGATGTAATCCCAGTGTTGTACTTTGTACCTTTGGAAATATTTGATGGAATCGGTGCCCTGAGCTGACAAACAATTCTTGCTTTACTTGCAGTTATGCCATATAACAGTGCCCATCATTGTGTTGTGGAAGTGGAAAACTTCTTGTTTGTGCTGGGAGGAGAAGACCAATGGAACCCTAATGGTATGTATAGAATATTAAAAGGCACAGGCAGCATCAGCCTTCCTCTGTCTGTCTGTCTGTCCGTCAGGTCAGCTGATGTAATCATTAACAAGGGATTTTGAGGACCCTCAGCCTGATTGTTGAACCTAGTAAAGGCTACTTGTAGATATTGATGTAATAAATATCTGGTACTTTAGCATTAGCATTTCCATCATTCATCAGCTCCCACATCCCTTGAGAAATGCCACAGGCAGCAGAACAGACTCTTTCACGTGCATGCACCAGGCAGCAGCTGTTAAGAATTTTAACCTTCATTTCCAGTCTCCTTCCAGTCATAATATAATATAATAATGCAATTGCAGTAGATGCTTCCTTTCTATTGTCAAACCAGATACTCGCAGCTAAAGTTGTTAATGTGTTAATTATCTAGACTCCGAGATTCTTTAACTGGTCCTTTTTTCAGTCTTGTGCAAGAGCTTCTCATATAGATTATCTGCTGCTACCTTCTTTGATTTGATTACTTCATAAATTTACTGCAAAGAGAAATTAAACAATTTAACAGGCTTCTGAGCAAAGCAAAAGGAGAATACCATGCCTTGCAAAATTCACAAAATTGTCAAGACATTGTTAAAAAGCTTGCACACGAAGAAAGAGTTGTAGTTGTAGCAGTCTGTGTAACAGAGATAATTATGACTGAGAAACCATAAAACAGCTTGCAGGTACACATTTTTACTTTAAAACACCAGAGGATCCAGCTGAAATTACATATACTGCATATATTTTATTGTGAATGCCCCATTTCAGCATCTGCACTAAACCAAATTATAGAAAATTGTTACATCTGTTCACTTCCTAAAACCTGAGACAAACAATCCAGTCCACCCTATAAGCATATTTCCGGTGCAGTTAAAAATATCACTAGATGTCTTAGGAGAAGAGCCCTTCAGTTCTATTGTTGGATCTCCTTTATATTAAAAAGGAGATAGTGTGGTATCATTAATGATAATTATTATTAGGAGCATCAGCCACATCCAACAACTGAGGGCCCCTGTTGTGCTTGGTGGTAGGCATACGGGTAGTAAGAGGCAGACCTTGTTCCAGGCAGTTTATAATTAAATAGCCATGTCACATGAAGGATGAAAGAAAAGAAGTATAATTACCCACAATTTAAAGATGTGGAAACTGAGTCGCAAGACGATGGAGACAGGTAAGAACGGGTACATATCCTGCCTCTGAGATAGGAGTCGAGCACAACTGTGAGATGGATAGTACCTTAGGTCTGAGGTCGCCTAGATCAACTCCTGAGCTGAAGACGTTGCCATCGGACGTCTTAACAGCTTCCTTGTTCTATGAATACCAGAGCTGTGATTTGTCTATAGAGAAGATAGGAGTAAAAGAGGTAGGAGCATTGCTGATACTGATCTCTTTATGAATTTACCGCAAGAGAAATGGATCTTACTTGTCACAAAAAGCGGACCTGAAAATCATAAACTGCATCCTATGCTATTGCTGGGCTAGTTCTTTCTTGGAACTGATCTGCTTTAAATGTGCAGCTACATGGGAACTGCTTGCACATACCTACTTGAATTTAAAGGCCTTTGTCTGCTATCCTCATAGTACAGAAGGGGCTTCATATGCACCTAGCTGGAACTATCTTGCCCAGAGCATTACAAGGCTTTTGATTTGAATGAGAATATGCCAGGTGCTTTTCCAGTGGACAGAATTATCCTTGAGATGAGGGCAATGGAAGGAGCACCATGCATTTCTTTAGCCATCAGACCTGCAGGTTCTTGAGAAGCCAGGTGGAGCCTGAGGAGCGCCCATGTATCCTCCGTGCTGCTCCTGTGACCTCCTGATAACCTAGAGCGTGTGGGGGACATTTCTACTTTCTTCTACATCCTCCTATGGCTATGCCTTTCCAGTCACAAGGGATCCCCGCACAAGTAAATGCTGATGAGAGCAGGTTGCAGAACACAGGCATGGATTAAGACCAACCTTCATAACCTTCAGAGCCCTTCACCTTTTGGCATGGTTCCAGAGACCTTCCTGTAGAGAGCAGAGAGCAGCAGCATCTGCCTCCTTTTGTCCCATCGTCCTGATGTGCTAATCCTGATTTCTGATCACTTATTACAGTTTCTACGTTCTGACAAGTGCTTCCTAACGTGTGTAAACCTCCTGACTGATGAGCAAGGGAAAATAGTAGATACAGTTGTCTTGCAAACTGAATTCCAAAATTAAACTGGAGTCACAGTTACACCAGGCAGCTTAAGTAGGTCATCAAGTCCTTTTCCTGCCATCGCAGGCATCATATAGTCCCATTTTGTAAATTTTCTAAGCTCCATTCGAAAAGCAGTTGGATTTTTAGCCCCTACTACTCCTGAAAGCTGTTACAGAATCCAATTGCTCTAAATGACTAGCAGCCTTATTCTAATTTCCAGTGAAATGTATTCTTTGACTGTCTAAATCACCTTGTTCTCATGCCAGAGTTGGCCTTTAGCTTAATAGTTTTTCCCCTCCTGGAGGTTTGTTCCTCTGATGTATTACAGACAGTGCTCCTGTCCCCTTTCAGCTTTTGTTTTCCTAGGTGCAACAAGCCAAGTTCTTTGTCTCCTGCCGTACGGTAAACTTTCTGTTCTTCCTGTCGCCATAGTAGCTCTTCTTTGTGCCTGTTCTAGTTTGATTTCATCTCCCTTCCTGTGAAGTGACCAGATTTGTGTCCTGTATTCTCACTCTAGGCTCACTAAACCCTTCTCCTTCTACCCTGCGCCATACAATCTTCTACATATGTGTTATTTGTAGTGAACATGTGTATAACACGTTATGTTAGGAGGCCAAGGTCCCCAAATCATGGGTTCGTATGACAACAGTTAAAAAGCTGCTGTATAACCAGTGACCACTGAAGTCCCCAGTAACTCTGAAAGATCTAATGAATATAGCAGCATTAAACCCTCCTACTAGAAGTCCAAACTTACGATCAATACTTACATTGTTTAGAAATCCTGCTTTTTGAAATAGAAATAGATTAATAAGTGTCCTAAATAGTGAGACCTAGAGCCAGTTAGATGCCCGCTGTTACTGTTTTACTGTTTATTGAATCTATCGCTCTCAATGCCTCTTTTCCTAAATTGTCTGTATAGACTGAAGGAATTCAGATAGGGACCAAGAGCAAAGCCTCGCTTCACTAAACCCAGTGGCAAAATGACCAGTTGCCCTTAGTGTATGGGGATCTCACCCTGTGTCTTGAGATGTGTTTGAGTGGTGCTCAGCATAAAGGGCTTTGGTCCTCATTAGGCACCATGCTGGATTTGAGGGAAATGCTACATTATTCATCAATCCTCTGCTTTACCCTCCTCACACAGAACATGCTTATAACATAGAGAGGGAATGAGTTTGCTTCCAGATGGAGTGGTCAACATGGTTTCTTTCTCTGTTTTCTTGTAGAACATGACCTTAAATTATTACGAATATAAATTCTAGCTGTATCGTTACTCTTCTCTACAATCTTGATGGTCTATTTACACATCCTGAAGTAAGTGTGGAATGAAACAAGCAAAGCGAGCCAATCCTACGGAGGCTTTTCCGATGCAAAAATATTCACCTTGTAGAATACCCAGTGACCATTTATAGAACAGTGACATACGCAGTTGGGTTATTCTGCTGGCCTGTGAAGCCTCTAATTCAATTTTTTAGTCACACATACATAAACAAAGGTTTCTGTTTCCGAGATCCTCATCTGTTGAAGTCGCAGGTGTTACAGGAAATTGCCATACACTCTCTTGCTTCAGTTTTCTTGCTTTGATGTCAATCTGCATGTAAAATAAGGTGAAATCTTAATATCGTGAAGACATGAATACAGTTCATGGGCTTGACAGCAGGGATAAGCTAGTTAGCTGGTGTATGTTGCTCATGTTTCATATTTTAGCTAACACACTTGGAATAAAACTCTAAGAGTGTATTCCCCCTTCGATGCACATGTGTAATTCCTTCTAACTTACACTGAAAGTACATGGTAGAATAAACCATCTCGTGCAAACACTGCATACCCCATGCTGATGGCTTATGCAGCTCCTGGTTATTTGCACAAGATTTTTTTTTACCATGTTCCACGTAGAGACTATGTGTGGAGAAAGAAAAGCACATGTTCTCCCTTTGATTTTTTTACCTGACACAAAATACTCTAGTCATAAAAATACCATGGGGATGCCCTATTTTGGGCAGCAATTTTGTTTAGTGTTGTGATTTATTGTGGCTATGAAAGTACCACAGCATCTATAAGTAAATTTAAATACACATTTTCAAGATCTTGTTACAGAGAGCAAGAATAATCTCTATCTGCTTTTACTGCTAACAATTGCTAATTCAAACCTTGCAGTGCCCCATTTGTTGAATTATTACTGTACACATAGTGTAATCATACATTGTTGTAAAAGGGGGAACCCTTCATAAAAGCTGTCAACTTGTGAACTATATGTAATATATATTACAATCATGATGTTAAATACATGAAACAAACAGCTGAGTGTCAAAATAATCTATTTTTACAGGGAAACACAGTACAAACTTTGTTAGCCGATACGATCCCAGGTTTAACAGCTGGATACAACTTCCACCCATGCAAGAGAGGTAAAATCCTGCTACGTGTTTTTCAATATATGTTTTATCATCCTAGGAGCAACTGAAGTTTGGCTTAGTTCTGGGAGTAAGGAGGCCTACAGAAGCGTTGAAAATACTGAGATAAAACTGCAGCATGCAGTTGCTTCCCATTTGTCTCCTAATTTTTTTAAACTTTCCAAATTCAAAACCCCAGATGCCAAATCCTGCAGGGCTAACTCATGCAAAATAACCATGGACTTTGTGCAATTACTGGTTGCCTGAGTACGGTCTGAAGGATTTTTCTCAAGTGTTCATAGTGTCCTGTCATGTTCCCTGACTGAAGCGTCACGATGAGTTGGCAGTAAATAAGCAGTATAGTCAGATATCTTATAGGGAACTGAAACCTTCACATGTTGACTCCATCCTGTTTCACCATGCCAGCCATGAAAAGCTCTCCTTAACATGTCTTACCTTGTCAGAGGAGTCTTAATCCTAGGTGGTCTTTGAGTGAAGTTGCTGTCAGCTAATGCATATTAGAGTAGCATGCATTTTAATCTTGACTGTGTACCGAAGAGCAGAGGTGCATGTAGGCTTGAGCAATGACCGGTAGAGATGGTGTAAACTTAACTCTGGATCCCAAATCCTACCTTGGCAGGTAAAAAGTCCCCCAAACCTGAACCGAATGATGCATGTTTCCCAAGAAGAATCTCAAATGCAGAAGATCCAACGTTATAATGTTGTTTTATGAAAGAGCATTCAATGTCCATCCTTCAGTTCAACACCCATCTTCTCATGGATCCAGTGTACAAGAGATCTTACACCACGTTCCTAAAACACTTTCCTTATTTCATGTGCTGTCCGTATTATAGCTCTTCTCTTGTTGGCTGCCCCCAGTGTTCAGGTGTCTGGCAGTCATAAATATATTGAACTCAGTGCAACCTTGCGATTCAAGGTGTGTATTACGACATGCATGGAAATAGGGCTGTCCTTTCAAATTTTCGGAGGTAAAATGTCAGTCTGTAGAGTTTTTGAAGGGCCTTTGTTCAGGATTCAGTTTGATTGACCTAAGTCCCTATGCAGACCCATGTGCAATGCTTGTCACCAAAAAATACTGTATTGTACCACTGTGTGAAGAAGCACAAGTGGAACGGATCTGAGGAGGTTCCCTGTTGGAGCTGAGTGAACTGATAAAATTAACCATATAAATAGAGATTAAAAAAGAGCATCACAGTTCATTTTAGTCTCTGGCTTTATTAATAACATCATCCTTTACTTTAAAAATCCTTTACTAAAATTCCTTTTTCTTTTTTAGTTGTTAATAGAGCTAGTCCAACAGCAGGCTTTAGCTAAAGAGGTGGCCCTGCTTTGGCAGCCCCCAGCCTTCTCCCTCACTCCTGCCAGCACTGTGGGATAACCCCACAACTGGGTTATTTACCTTAAAACAGAGGGACGCCTTCCCCTGTGGTTCAGCTCCCCGGACTGAGGCACTGCCGGCTCAGGTGTCAGGCGCGGGGGAGGCAGGAGATGTGCGTGAGATTGTGCATCGCTGTGCAGGTCATCTTCAGCGAACCGGGAGGCTGACTAGTGTTTGTACGGAGCCTGAAGCTCTTCTGTGGAGGCTAATCTGTGTCCTAATTAGGTCCTCGGGGTATCTGCAAGTAAAACTCCTGAGGGGCACATGCGGCTGGCTGAACGGTTGGGCTTATTTGGCTGACAAAGCTCAGAAGGCAGAAGTAGGCAGTTGAGGGTTGGAGAAAGCAGACAGTAGAAGTTTTTCCACCTCCACAGTGGCCAGTTGTGTTTCACTAGAAGATCAGTTTATAATCGCAGGTGTGGAATATGACTTGCCTTTTGCTCTGGTGGAAGCTGCTGCCTTCAGCCAAGAGTCAGAACCTCTGCTGCACACTGCGATTGCTTAGCGGCTGCCCAGTAATAAACTGTAATGTATTAGCATCTCAGCTCCTTACAGCGTTATTTAAACGTAATGGTCCACTCATACATAGTTCCTTCTGCAAGGGGCTTTACTATGACGATGTTAATTGTGACCTCTTTTGTTCAGGATACGTAACTCATAGGCTTGCCCATTATTTCTCTATAAAGGCTCCTAAGCATTGGGGCTATTGTTGGAAAACAGGGATTTTCAAATCACTTTCTAAAATGATTTTAATGGTTTATTTGCTCATCCCTAATGACTTCCTCAGAATTGTTGCAGCCTTTAGAGGTAGGGTCTGGCCCAGTTTTTAGAAGATCATACAAACAAGAGAGAGCTTTATATGCAGTCTGCTTTCCCGGCTCCTTTAGTCAGATAAAGTTCCCATTAAAGTCAACAGGCTATTTTTTCCCTGCTAGGAGTACAGGGTCACGCCCTGTCTCTGCTGGCATAATGCAGGCACCATTGACAAGACAGACTGTTTAATGGGTACTTCTAAGTCATTATGGTCCATCAAGTCAAAACCTACTTAGGAATTTCAGTCTGAGAATAATTGGCTGGATAGACTATAATAGCTCCTTTGAAATGACTGCCAGGTAAATGTGGGTCTCATTCACAGGCAGTATATTCTCAAGTTGGAAATCCATATGAAATATTTGATGAGTAAACTTTTATCTCATATGCTAAAATCCATATCTGATTGATTTTACTGTATGAACTATAAAGAAAAGTCTAATCCCGTTATGGATTCAGGGCCGTCAGTGTATTTTCTTGAAAGCCAAGTTTGGTTTCTTTTCATTTGAAGAACATCTCAAAAATGCATGCTTTCGAAAAGTGTGTACTATTTTCTGGCGTGCATTGTTTAGAGAAACAGCAAATGACTCATCGGCTTTTGAAATACACGTCTGCCTGACAATGCTGTAACAACGGGATGCTTTTTGGAGAGCG